TAGCGGCGTGTGCGCGCGCTTCCAATAGCGGAGTTTAAATGCCCGACTGGCCAAAACGGGGTACTTTGGCCACGACGACCTTACTCATGACTGGCACAAACGGGGCACTTCGGCACTTAAAGGTTAATAGTGGCAACAATGCTGTAGAGATGCCATGCAACGGAACCAAATAACGTCACTTATACCACATGTTAGTTACATACCTATCTTACCTCAGAACAAATGGACTCTCCCTTCCCACATCACACGTATGCACAGTGATGAGAAGAACAGGGCCTCATGTTAGCTGGCGGTCTAATGTAGTGCTGTCACAATGTTTTCGAAATAGAAACAACAGAGTTGGATAAAGACTGAATGTGTCAAGAGATCGTACAGCACAACAGTGTCATCAAGGTCTTCAAGAGGCCTACAGGGAATCTGCATTGCCTTACAGAATAGTGGCAAGGTGGGTAAAAGCCTTCTACGAGGGATGCCAAAATGTGGCCAGGTCATTCTAGTGTCAGTGAAGAAGTGTACCCTCTTTCCACATTACTGGAGAGTGATCGATGCCATACAATTCATGAGCTGGCCCGAGACAGGATTAGAGCATAAGAGCACAAAGGAGAGGCTTTCTTACGCCATATCATTATGCTGGATGAGACGTGGGCCAAATGGTATGAGCCACAAATGAAACGCCAATCGAACGAATGGCATCATTATGGGTCACCACGAAAATCAAAAGTTCGTCGGAACACCAGCAATGTGAAAGTTTTGGTGATTCTCATGTACGACTGTGATGGTGTTATCCTAACCCACACCATTCCCTGACAGCAGACTGTCAATGCTCAGTATTACTGTTCATTTTTGGAACACAACCTGCAAACAGCTTTGAGAAAGAAGCGGCGGCACTTTCTTCAGAACCCACCCATCATTTTGCAGGATAATGCTTGGCTGCATGCAGCGCAAGCTGTGGCTGATTTGTTCGATCAATGGGGCTGGGATATGCTGTACCATCCACCATACTCCCCAGATTTAAGCCCTTGTAACTTTGACTTGATTCCTAAGATGAAGGAACCACTTCATGGCATTCACTTCAGAACTGTTCCAGAGATTCTTCATTCAGTAGACCGCTCCATTCGAATTATCAACATAACAGGCACTGCTAAAGGTATCCTACGACTTCCACATCGCTGGCAACAGGTTGTACACAATGCTGGTGACTACACTGAAGGACAGTAAAACTTTGAAACATGAATCTATTTTGTATCAGTTGTAAATAAATAGTTGCCACTATTAAAGTTCCAACCCTCAAAGATTCAGTTTTCTCTGTTCTTATCAAAGATTATACCCAGACATTTTACATGATTGACAAAGGGGAATAATTCTGTCCATTCAATGTAAGATGAGCCTCAGGGGCCCTAAGTCTATGAAAAAAGTAGACTGCCTATGTTTTATCTTCATTGATTCTTATGTTCCAGCGCTCACAGCACGTTTCAATAGCACTGAGACCTCACTGCAGCTTTCTGAGAACATAACCCTCTTTGCAGTCTCTCGCATACATACGGGTGTCCTCATTGAAGAGACCTAGACAGACAGCAGATGTTTGGGGCAAATCATTTATATATAAACTGCACAATGTGTGGGACAGGACAGAACCTTGTGGCACCCCTGCTTGTATATCCTTTGGCACAGACATTTCATCTTTAACTGAAACTCTGAATTTTTTCTGAGAAAGAGCTAATAAGCTTGATGCAGATTAAGCTGATAAAAAACTGTAATGTAGATAATTTACATAGCAAGCCACTGTGCCATGTTGTATCAAAGGTTTTCTCAATATCCAAGAATACAGCAGCTGTAGACATGTTACTGTTGAAATTTAAGATTACCTGGTCCAAAATCTTCATACATTGATGTGTCATGCAGTGACAAGCAGAGAAACAAGACTGACTGCGTTAAGCAGGCCTTTTTCTTCAATATGCCTTTGGACTACTTTCAGAATAACTTTCTCGAATGGCTTGCCTTTTGTTGACAAGAGGCTAATCGGGCGTAACTGACGGACCAAACAGAAAACCTCGTTTAAACAGTAACTTCACTGTTGTACAGGTGTTCAGCACGCCATTGAATAACAACGCCTGCGGCACGAATCACACAGATAACACCGTTCTTCTATAGCTGCGTGTGTGCTGTTGGCGTTCCCTAGCAAAGGACGCTGTTTACAGTCACCGCTTAGCAAGGAACCCATACGCCATAATATTTTTTCTGCCTCAGCAAAACACATGCAACATTTTATTCGCCAGTTCAACGAAAAGATTTCCTACTTCTATCAAAAGCTAACATTTAAATGCCCCCACTTTAAGAGGTTATGTTACTTGCCAAATATTCTAATTTTCCTTTAATAATGAATTTTCAGAGAAGATTAACGTGATTCACAGACTTGTTACGTCTACATAAAGCATATGATGTGGTGCCTCAGATTCACTTGAATTTCCTCCAAATTCTTCGGCGATGGCCTTTACTGTGTTATAGAAAATGTCCTTATGTTTCTACGCAGTTCCGTATAACTATAGTCAAAGTTACCTACGATCACACTATAACCAATTTCATGTCCCAAATTACAAAATCCTACGCTCTTTTTCGTTACCATAATACTTATGTTTTTGAGTAATTATAAATGTTACACAAAAATGAAATCTTAAATACACGCGCAAAAACACGAACTTTACTATCGCGGGAAAATGAAAAAAACATTCTTTATCTCAATACAAACTTTTACAATTACATACCTGTGCTCAAACAATGTAAAAATTTGTATGTAATTACTTCTGTATTGGCTAAACATGGCCCACTCGAAATACACGATTAAGTAGTAAACGAAAATGATGACTAAGCTCACTCACTTCAGCCATTTTTCTCTCTTCTCTTGGTAAATTTGTACGTAGTTTCCTGCGATTGCTAGGGCAACTGGAGCTACTATCATGCATCACAGATTACTTACATACACGGAACAGTAAAGAACCCCAAGCAGCCAGGGAGGCCAGAGACACCAGGGATAATAAATAACGAGACCGTCACGGGCGGCACGGGTAACCGATGAAATACAGACAACACCTCGCAGCTTACTTATCACATTAAAAACCTTCAGTTCCTTAACATTTTAATACTTAATCCGTTGAATTACATACATCATAAGAAACTGAAAGAAACACGCGAAGTGAATTACCAGAGAATTTATAGGAGAGTAAAATTCAGCAATGGGAACACAGATAACTCTCATTAAATACTTCACACAAAGCTAGCATTGACATTGACTGATTAGTAATTGTTATCTGTATTAAATAATTATAAGTATATTCGTCATCAGCCAGTTGTCTGCAGAAGGGTCCAGGTATTATCATTAAGTACTTCCCAGAAAGCTAGCATTGACATTGACTGATTAGCCATGTTATCTGTATTAAACAATTATAAGTGTATTCATCATCAGCCAGTTGTGTGCAGAAGGGTCCAGGTATTATTTTTGTTTTCAATGAAAATGGTTGTACTGATTATTCTTTTGGAGGTAAGTTACCTCAGGTAACACACATCAACTCCAACATTAATATGGTATGTTCAGTGCTCCCCAAGTTCAGTAATGCTTTATCACTAAAAGCAATATTTCTGGGTTAATAATTTCATCATGCACAGATCCCAGATTTCTTCCGCTGCTATCCTGAGCAGACCTGCCTTATATATTCTTCTAATATTCCAAGTACCAAAACTCATATCCATTTTCTTTCACTTGGGTTATTTATCCAGGGAATCTATCCAGGTCAAATGCTTCTTGTGAACTTTTATAACACGCTTATTTTTTGAGGCAATGAGTTGTTAGCCACACTCTCAACCCCCAGGCTGGAGGACTACCCCTTTTTGGCTGTCCACAACTGCTTATTCAATATAGTAACAACTACCCTCCATATCTGAAGGCCATCTCCTCCATCCACAACCTGAGGATGTGCCATGCTGTGGTGATATGGGACCCACATAACATGTTTATGTAACTATTTATTTAATACGTTTTGCATAATGGGCAGCATACTTTTTTAATTTGCATAGTGATGATTCTGTTCCAGTGACTGTAAGTTCTCTGTGTTGCATTCATTCAGTGTTCAGTATTCACTGTGTGTGTTCATGTAATATTTGGTCTGAATTAATTTACCTCTGAAACTGCACAATTTTGTTAATAAACGAGAAAAAAGACATTATTTTCAAAATGCAATGGCAAAAGCACATGAAAATTAGAATATAACTGTGATTTCTGTATTTCAAATACCAGCTGTATTGAAAAGAATGATACTAGTTCAGGCTCTCAGTCAAAGTCAAAGAAATGAAATATGAGTGTAAGATCATGGTTTCATAAATTGCACAAATGAAAGTGAAAGTGACAAGCCTCAATATACTGTTTGTTATGAAGTTCTTACAGATAAACTCTTAAAGTAAGAATTCTGGTTTAGCTTATGCCAAACAATATACAGTCAACTCTCGATTATCCAGGATAATGGTGGGCATGGAAATCACGATTAATCGAAAACCCAGTTAAGATAAATTTTACTAAAAGTAGTACTGTAATACTGTACCTTCATAATACTATAGGCCTACCTGTATTTAAAGTTACTCAACCTCATTTTTATGTCATCTCATGGCCTATTACTACTTTTTTTACATTATACTGAAGTGTGAATTAGTTATTTCAATCGCGGTGTTCAACAACATCCAACAATTTTTACGAATATGCACACTTAACACTTAAAAAAAAATTAATATTGTCGTTTGCTTTTTCGCGGCATTTTCCTTTTTACGGATATCCATACGAAGCCTACGTAATATTAGCTTGTCACTTAACAAACTGTTCTCTTCACTCTCAAGATAGTCTAGTAAGGATTCCAAATGATTAAGAGCAGCACCATGTGATATTTTCTTACTAGCAGCACTGTCCACCTCTTCCTCATTCTCACTTTCTTCCCNCCCCCGGATAATCGAGAGTTGACTGTATCATTTTTGAGTTCTTGAATGATGGTAAGAGGCATCACCTATCATCAGACTGACCTAACATTTTCTCACAAAAGAACAGCTAGGAGAACACTTCTGTTTGTGATGGTACTCCCTTCCAACCTTATAAAACACACACAACCAAAAGCCTTCTATTTCACATCAGCTACACATATAAATTAGATAATTGCAGGTAAGATGATTGAAATAAAGTAATGTCTTACAAGAAGAGGGTGTGTAATATGGAACTCTCTTTATTTAGCTTAAAATTTCTGTTATTCTTTAAATAATGAAAGTGTACATAAGATCTGTTGTTTTTTCTGTCAAATATGAAGCAGCTGGGAGAGTTACCTATTTGTATTTGACGTAACTTCACAAAACAGTAAAATTTCTTCAAGATTCTTTTACTGAATAACCCGGAGTTTACTGTATTTTCTTGCAGGATTTGACCTTCTCATGGTGATGACTCTGAATGGTATACTATCCTCTGGGAAATGATGCCATATAGTCCTGCAGAATTTTGCTCTGCTTGCATACATTTAGACTCAGATGTTGGAAGCTGTATGTTGCTCCAAAAAGTTTGCAAACTTCTACCAAACTGATATATTGGGTTTTTGGACTTTAGTAACTACTTCTACCAAACTACGAGTACATAGTGACACTTCCAGAAGACAGCACTCTTCAAATATTTCTTTCATCTCAGTCAACAACAATTTTGATATGAATGAACACAGATAGGGTTTGATGTTTTAGTGAAATTTCTGTCTTATATTTGTGTAAGTTGAGCTTAAAGCATATGACAGTCGTCTACAAACATTATCACAAATTAAGCACTAGGTACAATAACAGTAATATAAAATAAACATATTACATGATTACTGATGCAATACATACAATGTATATATACTGTAAATTGTCCATTTGTTATTCAAGATATTAACAGAAAATGGATAGCTTTAAATAACATGAATTGTCATTTTCTGAAACAAGGTAAGAGCCATGTATAAATAAGCTAATAATATGCAGTAATACTTCACTTATATCATACATCTAGAATAAATAACCTTTCAAGTGAAACACCACAGGTTCATAAATCCATTCGTACATATACACACGTCATTTAATGAATAATTCATTTACTCATAACGTTTGAGATATACATATGACAAATACTCCAGCCAATGTACAAATTTAGATTGAGGCTTATAAAATAAGGGCTGGGATATTAAATTTGCATTAGGATGTCTCAGGGATTACTGGGACAGTGGATTTATAGTAATACTGTGGTCCTGGTAGGTTACATGTGATCAGGTATGGTTTCCTATGGACAGAAAACTATGTATGTGTGTATAATACTTACCTTTCAATCTACTTGATACATGTAATAAACAAGATCAGTTATTAATTATAAGGAAGAACTATGATAAGAAATATACTATATTATATCTCAGCATCCTGTTGCACTCTACACGATAAATGATACAAACTCCGTCCCAAGTGCAAACAATATATATTATATGTCTTTGATCTTGTTCTCTTCTGCACTACATGTTTCGGCCTCTATCGGCCATCATCAGGTGTAGACTCTTATCGTTGCTGCCACACTGAAACCCAGTCTAAAATTTAACATTTAAAAAACACATTGTTATTTTCTTCGTATTATCAACATCTACCTCGTTTATATGTGTCTGGTATGTAGATTATATTGCACACATCAAATTTTCCTGTAGT